AGGAGACCTAAAGGGAGACAAAATCACATGATACTCTTATTTTCCATTATCAAGCACTGCTACAGTTAGGATCTGGGATGTCCCCTGACCAAGGCTTGTGTGGTGAAGGCTTAGTTCCCAGGTTGGTTCTATCGAGAGATGAAGGAAACTCTAAGAAGTTGGGCTTCGTGCCAGGTCCTTGGGAATGTGGCCTTACAGAGACTGTGAGACTCTACTGTCTTAACACGCCTCTTCTCTGTTTGTTGCCTGGCCATGAGAGCTTTGATTCACTGCATGTTTCTAACATAATGAGTCATCTCAGACCCACAGCAATGGTACAAGCAAATCAACAATCCAACCTCCTAAAACTGTGAGCCATAAGCCTTTTTCTCTTCATATTATCTCAGATATCTCTTGTAATGATAGGAAGCTAACACAAAATTTATTATTTAATTGATCCACACTGCTCGTTTTATATACCATAACATGTTGCTTGGCACTCTTTGTTTTTCTTTCTTATTCTCATTAAAGAGTAAGAATTATGGAAATAAGCGGTAAGCTCTGTTTAGCAGTAAGATCAGTGATTATGAAATTAGTTTAGTTCTTCCACTGTGAATCTCCTTGACCTTGGGCTTCTCCCTCAAGTTTTCTGTGGCATAGTTTCCTAACCACTAACCTTGGATATTTTTCTTTGGAGCTACCATTACTTTATTGATTAAATCAGTATGGCACATGATAATAATACATACATCTAGAGCATTAAGTGAGATGATTTTTTTGATATTCCAGTACGCTAACCTGAAAATATACATTTGAATTTCAAAGCATCATACCCAGCTTCTGGCACATAGTCGGTATTTTGTTAGTAAATAAAAATGAAGTGCTTGTCCATTGATTTCACAATATAAACCATTTTAAAGATGTTCAAAACTAGTTATGAATATGTAAGTTGGAAGTATATAATTATACTTAAAATATTTGATTTTATAAATACAAAATCACATCAAGCATCAGCCTTAAAAAAGTGAATAACTCAGTTACAGCAAGTATTTTCATCCAGTTGATAATAATCCATCTCAGAGATGATTATGTTCAAATTCCACCACCATGCTCTTGCTTCTGCCCATCACCATTCTGCCCACCTCCTCACCACTTTACTTTCTCATTTGTTTTGAAGTTTAGCACAGGAGCTCATGTCCAATATGGTTAATATCCTCAGAACATCCCGGAGATATGATTTCAAACCTAGGTGAGTTTAGATAAGTTTTGTTCTTCCACCATGAGCCCAGGTTAAACTGAGAAAAATTTCCTTGCCATCTTTCTCTGCTCCTGAGTGGATTACCTATCCTTTCTTTTTTACTGAAAGGGAAAGACTTTGAGGGGCCACAGAAGATGAAATATACTCACTCCAACCACCACCCTATTTTTGAGTGATGCCTGAAGCCTCTCTCTCTTGAAGGCCTACTCAAAGATAGTCCACCTTTCATCTTTTTTGTCCAAAGTTGTTTATATTTTTGTGCCAGAAGATTCTTCTGCTAAGCAGATGGAAAGAAAGAAAATTTCTTCCATAAAATCAAAATGTACTTGGGAGATCTTAAGACATGATTAAAATTTTCTACTATTGACACGTTCACTGGTACCAATCCCAGGTAATTTGAAAAGGCCTGATGATATCGTTGTTACATTCCTTTCTTCTAGTAAACTTCTAGGTTATACAAAAGTTATATTTATTACCATCAGAGCTTAAGTACAGAATCCTATTGAAGTTTGATGACTTTGTCAGGCCAAAATTTAATTAAACAGTTGCTGAATCCTGACTTTTAATTTGCATATAGCTCAGCGGCATAAGCACCTGTCTGGCAAGCGCACCATCCTGAGTGCAATTCCTGATACCACATATACACACACAAAAATAATCCCAAAGCAAATCACTCATGTCTGTTGTGACAAAGGCAAGAAGTGTTGCTTAACATCTTTTATATTTCACATTATATATATATATGAAAGTGTAATATCCTCTTAGATTATTCTACACAAACATATGAAAGTATAATATCCTCTTAGATTACTAAAATAGATGAACACTTAAAATTTGTTATTAATGCAAATGAATTTCAGTAAATAGAATAAAGCATACAAGAAAGAATTAAGACTAGACCAATAAGGAACTTATTGTGGCCTACTGGGTAACAACATAGAATAAAACTTTGTTACAATTATGGAAAAATCTAACCTCCATGTCTAGGACACATTTCACCTTCCAAACAATATGAAAAATCATTCTCTAATCCCTTTGTACCGAACCCCCTCCACTAACATTAGTCCCAATGAATTACCCTTCCTATATAATTCTGTTTTTACAGAAGTAATAGTTAAGAAGCACTGTTGGTACAAGTAGATGTCTTGTAACTGTCTCTACACAGGTCACAGAAATAACAAATGATGTCCAATTTCTCAGGGAGTAAAAAGTGCTAATTTCCAAGATAGATTAAAAGTCAGTAGAAATGTGTATGTACAAAGAACCATGATTACTCACAAATCAGTTTATCTGAATCCCAATTATCACACCCATGCAATAAAAACTATTTTACAAGTTGAATAATACGAGTTCCAAAAGAAAGAAGTAATCATCAAGCGGAAGACCCAATACTATTATGGACTACTGGACTCTTTTAGAATATTTTGCTGAGTTTAGGCACCTATAATATTCAAATAACGGAACTTAACAAAAAAAAGGTATACAGATGAATGTCCATTTTGTATGTGTGTGTTCAAAATGGTTAGGATAGGTATATAGTTACATTCTCTTAATGAATAGAGGGATTTGTTCTCATGGTGTTTGTAAATAGGATATCATGTCTGCATCTTGTACAGCAATTAACCACTAGGAAGAATGTATGCAATGTGTTAATTATTGAAACTGTCCTACCAATTTGAGTTGAAACCGTCTCATTGCTATTTGTTTATCAATAAAATTATGAGGAAAAAACATTAAGAAAGAAAGAAAGAAAGAAAGAAAGAAGTAATCATTTGAAGAAAAGCCCCATTATAACTCTTTCTTATTCTATTTAGTTACAGATAAATTAAATTACACTTTAATTTACCACGCATTTCCTTCTGGTACTTACATCAAGCTCTGAATTGCATTTAGGATACTATTACCGTTCTACTTACTCTAGGAACATTTCTACAAAAAAGGGGGAAATACTCTCTATTTTTTTTCTTTAAAGAGAATAAAAAATAGTGAAAAAAATAGAAAAGATACAGAATTTCACTAAACAGAATGATAGGAATTCAACAGCGGTTGTTATATCGCATTGTTATGTTGTCTCCAAATCAGTTGTTCAGATTACCAGGCATAAGCATGCAAAATTGGTCTAAACATTATAAAAAAGTGAAAAGGAGAGAAAAAAATTAAGCATTAACTGCTCCTTTCAACAGATCAGCAGAAATCAGCAGTACAATTGTCCAAGCTATCCTGTGTATATACTTATATATTTATTTCTTTTTCCCTTCCTTCTTTCTTTTTTTTTCTCCTTTCTCTCATCCCAGTTGTTCTTTCCCTTTGAACAGTTTCTTTCTCTTTCATTTGCTCTTTCAGCTTCTTACACTAGGGAGACAATACAATGTTTACACGTGTAGGTCTGATGTATTTCACTTATGGCTATGGTCTCTAGTTGCATCCATTCACTTATAAAAGCCTCAAGTTTATCTTTTTTATAGGTGATTAATTCCCTATTGTATAAAAATGCCATATCTTTTTTACTCATTTCTCAGTTGATGAACATCTAGGCTGATCTAACTATGACAAATGCACTGCTACAAACGTAGGTGCACATATATCACTGTGATACAATATTTTCAATTCTTCTAGAAAAATATCCAAGAGGGGGACAACTGAATTGAATGACATCTCTGATTCTAGTTTCTTGAGGAAATTTCTCACTGATTTCTGTAGTAGTTGTAGATTTGTTGCTGGTGGCTCACAGACAATATATTGATATACATATGTATGAGACAATTTAAGATGAATAGATGAAAATAATCATTAAAATTTTTACAGATTATTTCACAATTGTCTTTAAACATACAGACCTACTTAAAATAATTAAAAGTGGCATGATAGATAAACCAACAGAGGTGTAGTTTATGAAAGAAATAATATATGAAATTCCAATCTGCAGATTATCTCAGAGAAACTTCACTGTACCTCAAAAGATTAGTTTAAAAAAAGATTAGTTTTTGTTTCAAATAAAAAGTTTAAATATATATAAATGTTACTTTATGATTCTTCTTGGTGGCCAACATTTTCATTTTTTTCCAAACAACATGAAATAGAAGCAAGTAGGTAGATTTCACTTACTAGTAGAACAATACTTAACATAGCATGAGGTAATGAAAAATGGGCTTAACTTATGCTGATTTAACATAAAAATCAACAGCTATAATTTTCCTTATTATTTGTTTAGTCACCATACTAAGCTCACTCTGGAACTTCAAGAAAGCATTAGGAGAGAACAACACAAACAAAGTCTTCTCATTTCTATCACTTGAGGCCTAAGAAAGGACTAGCATAGATTCCTAGTCCATATTCTATACCTGAAGATGGAAAATCTCCATCCTACTATTAGCTTAATAACTTAGATAATTGAATTATTAGAAACAGATGCAACCTGAAACTAGTACTGCATTAACCAAGAATTTTTTTAAAATGTGTAACTTGAACAATAAATTCAGTAAACAAATAAGTATTTCTTGCAAATTTGAGAAACTAGTATTTCAGAGGATACCTGACTTTTCTAAGTAGACCAAATAACCTCTAAAGTCTCCATTTTTCACAGCAGAAATAGTAAATTCTCAGCTATCTCACACCGACTGAACTGGTTTTTCTGGATTCCACCTTGGGCTCTCCTTGCTGCCCAGCTGTATGGCTCAATCAGGAAGTTTGGAAGAAACATCTGGGAGTTCACTGTTGACACAACAGTATGAATTATGCCTTGTTCTCTGAAAGGACAAATGGCCCTGGCATTTCCCAGGTTTCACAGAAGCTGCCTGACTTGGAACAAGTTACCATGACCAGCCAGTCTCAGGGAATCAGCCAGCTCCTTCAGGCAGAGAAAAGGGCAAAAGACAAGCTAGAGGAAGCCAAAAAAAGTGAGTCTCGTCTACAGGGGTTTTATAAAAAATGGAGGAGGGATGCAAGGAGGTATGAGAAGATGAGCATGGCTTTGTGGTCAGGTAGACCCAAGTTTAAAGTCAGTTTTTCCAGGTGTCCTGTGAAGCCTCAAGAGTCTGTTGAAATTACCCAGTCATATGCTCCTATCACTACAAGGGAGATGAAGTCTTCTCATTCTGATCTCTTTGAGAAACCATTTACTAAGTAAAAATATCCTGGACATTAAAGCAGGGAGACATGGGCTTATACCCAGGTATCAGCCACTCAGGGGGCCCAAGGGAGATTTTCCAGGGTGAGGTCCCAAGGTGAAGGAACACACCTATACAAGACATCAGCAATAGCAGCAGGCAGCATGGAGCAGAGCAGAGTCCAAGAGCCAGCTGCATCTTTATTGTATAGTTCTTATACAGGTTGTTATCTCGTATACATTCCTGTATAGTGCTGTAACTGGCACATGCATGTTTACCTGTGCTAAGTCATGGGTACATAGCTGTGTCCCTCTGTGTGCCTACACTAGACAAGTGGGGGTCACCTTCTCAGATATCCTTGGATACTGCTGAGCTTAAAGCAGTCTGAGTGGCTTTCCACTCCAGGCTCCGCCATACCTTGGTTTGTCCTGTTGTGAAATGTTTAAAAGGCAGACAACTTCCAGGTTGAGTCTGCTCACTAAGAGTAAACTCGAACTAATTACTTTTTCTTCAAAAGATTGAGTTTTCATTGTGATAAAAGCACTTAATAGCTCATTCTCATCCCTTTTTTAATAGCTTTTCATTTCCAATATTTCAAAATATTTCCATTTTATTCTTATTTTCTATTCTTTTTAGTCATACATCCATGTACTTGCACAAGAATGTCCTAAATCAATTTCAATGTTCTTCATACTTTCTTTGATATTCGTTACACTTATATAAATAAAATATTAATGTGATTCCTATTTTATGTATGCAGAAACTAAGAATTTATGATTTGCCCAAGGTAATTTTAAAAAATAAAAAATGTGGCACCAGATACCATGCTCAATATTCATCTTGTTTACTCCTTACAGTGACCTTTATTGCGAGGGAGAAATTAATGCTTAAAGAAATTGTACAGTTTGCCCAAGGTCACCCACACAGAGCGTAAATGGTGGAGACAGGATTTAGAGGAGGTTGGAGTCCTCAGTCAAGATCTTAACCAATGTGATACAAAAAATTTACATAACTTTTATAATGAAAAAATGAAACGTTGCAAATCTACATCTTAAATTCTGGTTTTCTGGGCAAGATTGATAGTTTTTTCCCTGCTATCCAATTTCTCCTCCTTATTTGATTTTCAGAAATTTCTACTGTTATCCTCCTCCTTCATGACTGTCTTGCCTCAGCAATTACATTCAAAGTAAAATAATCTTAAAAATCTTGCCTGTGTAATTCTTTTGGTGACTACAACAAAATTAGATCGGGTACTAAGAGTTTAATTATATTGAACTGGATGACAGAGAAGCACATGACTTGTAAAAGAGGTATCAGTAATGAGATGTGCTCTACTCAGTCTCATGGGGTTTTTACCACCACGTAAAATCTTTTCCCTTTGTTAATAAAATTTGATTTCCTCAACACAGAGGAATCTGGACACCAATAGCACAAAAGGGAAAGACTCCAAGAGGAGGTGGCGACAGAGTAAGAGAAGGCAAAAGATAATGAACACATGGTTTACAACTTATTCTACAGCAAACCATGAAAACAATTGCAGGATGGCATGAAAGCAGTCACTACATAGAAAAGGATACAGTGCAGAAACTGGTAGTTGAAACCCTCTAAAGATTCCTGCAGTATTTATTGAAATTTGAACCACACATGAAACTTTCAAAAAAAGAGACCAAAATATTTTGATGTGATGATTATGCTGTCCTTGTTTTCTCATAAGGCAAGAAACAGAAGGATGATATGGAGCACACAGATGATCAATATTATTGTGATTGAAATGGTTCATTTTCTAAAGTCCTAAGACAAAGCATTGTCAGTCTTACGAACAGTTTGTAGGGACCACTAATAGTGTAGCTGCAGCTTCATCATGAAGGCCAAGCTGCTTCTTATTTGCTCTAGTCTTTGAGCAAACTTTCATCAGAAATCAGAATTTAAAAATACATATTGTATTCTTTGTACCCAAGATATTCATCTCATGTCCCAATAACTTCAAGTACATTTTTTTCTTAGCTTACTGTTTTGTTCATAAATATTCAAGTAAAATATTCAACCTTAATAGTAACCCACGATTTAATAATAGTTTAGAAAATATTTTGACTTTCAACAAGTAGCCCCTACACTGAGTTTTGTAGAAAATGTCAAGATGTCCTCTTTGCTTCAGGACCCACAGCCTTTAGGCCAGTTTTCACTGGATACAAACTGTTTTCTCAGATAGATATCAGCAGGTAGCACTTTATAGTTAGCGCAAACCTGTTCTATGAATTTCCTAAATACTCTATGGCAAAATAGAGATATTACACTATATGTTCAATATGCCATAAATTCTTTCATATTTCAGAAGTTTTCTCATTCATCTAATTGCTTGATAATTTATTTGTTGCTTACCAGCTCTGTGCCAGGCTGAGATTCTTCTTAAATAATCATAAGATTATTCTTAAGAGCAGGCCTAGATTCTTCTTAAAGTACTCCCACACAAGTAGAATGCAGCAATACCCATTTAAACAAAAGAAAGGAATAATGACATGAAAGGTAAAGGGAGCCATTCTTTTAACAAACCCATATGTTTTTACTTTATCTTTTTTCCATGAAAAGATCTGTTTGAAAATCTGGCATAGTAAGGCTACATAGAGATTCAGAATAGAGATCAATAAGTCATGATAGTTAATGCCACTGTGGAAGGTCTATGTCACTTTCTCTTAAATCTGCTTATCTGAACGTCAGACATTCAGGAGTCTGTTTGAGTTGGACTGTAAATATATATTTTAAAGAGAAAAAAAAGGAGGAGGTTAAGGAGAAAGATAGGAAAAACTCATAGTAATTCACCTTATTAATTGTTTTAGAAATGGATACAGTGCAATATTTCTGTTATCCTGGAAAATATTAATCTATTCCATTAAGAAGGACTGCCTCAGACTGCAGTAAAACTGTGACGACTATAGCACATAGTAAGAATGTTCTATCTTGAGGGATATGTATGAGGGACCTGCTGTGGTGGAAACTCCCCCTGTGATGGCTATAACAATGGGATCTCAGAGCTCTACTTTCAAGGCACTCGCTAGCAACTGAGGAGACAAGGATCAAGATGGGTTGGGAAGGACCGTGGAGAGATTTGAAAAATCAAGACTCAAGGAGGGCAGAATTTTCACTTTAAAACCTGCATTTCCCAATCTAAGTTATATAGCACCAGTGAGCTCCATTCTTTCTTTTTAAACAAAAGTAGTATTTTATATTTGTACCTAACAACCAAAATATTTGAAAGATAGGAAAAATATAGTTTAGGTAGTGAGTCAAAGAACACAGTAAGTATTGGAGAGTTGGTTTTCTTTTTAATGTGTATTATCCATTGTTGTAACAAGGATGGAAGAATGAAATCAATCAGAATGATCTAGTTTCATTCCTCTTCACTCCTGCCATGAGTTCAGAATCTAATTAATCTCTTATACCACAGAGCTTCACTACTTCTGGTAAGATGACAAGAAAGGCTCGGCCATTTGCCTCTGTTCTCAGAATGCAGATTAAATCATGTTTATGAAACCTCACACATTTTATGTGCAAAAAAATAAAATTTACCTTACATTGACATGGAACCACAGTAGGCTCTCTCTCTCTCTCTCTCTCTCTCTCTCTCTCTCTCTCTCTCTCTCTCTCTCTCTCTCTCTCTCTCTCTCCCCCCCCCCCCCTTTCCTTTCTTTCTTTCCTTATTTTGCAGTTCCAGGGACTTGGGACATTGTGCTTGCCAGGCAGGTGCGTGTGCCACTGAGCTATCTCTCAACTCCTGCTTGCACTTTTTAAAACGACTTTATTTAGAGTTCACATTTTTAGGGGCCAGGGAGATAGCTCAGTGGAATAGCGCTTCCCTGGCAAGTGCAAGGGCCTAAGTTCAATCCCTGGTTCCACCAAAAAGAGAAAAAGTTCACATTTTTCCCCCAAATGTTGTTCATTAATGAAAACATAAAAGAAGGTGTATTATGCCAAGAGATCTGTATTTTTACAATAGGACATCATAGACCTTCCCTGGAGATTCCAGCTTGGCATATTAAAATGAACCTTCAATCAGAATAATTTTTGAAATCCAAGGCAACATCAATGACAGGAGGAACAGAGACTTGTATTTTTCCAAACTTGTGACTATTTTACTTTTGGTTTTGATGTTGTATGAAATTTACACCCACTGCGTACTTGGAAAACTAGATATATGCATAAATGCAGCCATCTAGAAAGTCTCCAGTGCTTGGGTCCAGCGTCATGTAATGAACCCAAGTTCCTTGTCATTTCCTAACGCACACTGTACCCTCTCCTACACGTACACAGCCAGGCCTCCAACTGGCTGTTACTGAAAGCAGTCTGTTTATCTAAAAACTGTAAGCTGCATTACAGGATACAGACTGAAAGATATGGTCCTCATATGTAAATTTTTATATCTGGATAGGAGAATAACAGAATGAAGAGGAATATTTTTAAAACATCCTAGATGCTATAGAAAAACACAGTTCAAGTGGCACTTTTATTTTTATTTTTACTTTTTTTTTTTTCTTGGTACCGGGAATTGAACTCAGGACCTTGTGCTTACCAGGCAGGCACTTATGCCTCTGAACTACCTTTTTGGCAACACCATACAAGGGAAGGACACAGCACTCTATTTCTTTAAGACAGTGTAGTCAGTGCTGGCTCCTGGGAACAATCCTGCCCTGGTATAAATCCAACTTCTGCTTCTTATTGGTGGGTGGCCCCATCAGGTGGGGCCACTGCATCACAGTGCCTGGATTGTTTGTTTATTTGTTGTTTTGGATCTTTTT